TTACAACCCGTCTAGCATATTAGAATCTTTCCATTTCATCCCTGGGTTCCCCATTTCCATGTATTCTTCTTTCCTGCCTTCTGAAGTTGTTTTCTGGGAAAATTATCCATATAGTTGGTTGTTCTGCAGAGAGAGTTTCTCACAAGTGTTACTGGTTATTTTATAGGCCTGCCTACCCTTTGGCTGCCAGGGGACCCTCAGGGGTAAGTTAGGTTACAGGTTTGAAGACTGTCCACAGACCCTAGTCATGGGAATTTCACCAGTCTCCACTGGTGTCTGATTAGTAGATTTTTTTTATGGTTTTAAATTAATGCCACATATCTCTCCCACTCCGGCCACCCACCACCTTATCAGACCCCAGTCTCGAGGCACAGAAGCAGGATGTAGAAAATTGTCTTTTGAGACTATGTTCTACCAGTTGACCTAGGTCTCTCCCAGGCTAGGGTCCTCACCTCTCAAGCACTTTGATTCAGTCTTTCAAGGTGTTTTCATGCCTTTGCCACCTGTGTGCTCCACTGGATACATGGATACATGCACAGCTAAATACATATGTAAAATACCCTCTACCAAACCTGAGTATACTTGGGTTTAGTCTGATATGCCTTCCCATGACTGTTCATATTGTGAATCTTTCTATGTATCCACTCATACATCATTTATTATTACTGTTAATACATGGATTTTCTATCTAATGGTATTTAGCATTGTTGCCCCTTATTCTTATGAACCTCAGTTCCTCCCTTTGTTCTGATCATGCTGTGCTGAGCACCCTGTTCTTGTGTATAGACTTCCCCTCACCCAAGTTAATACCCGTCCTCCTCTCTAGTATTAGTGATTTTCCCTCCGTCCTCTCTCAGCCCTGAAGCCAATAAAGAATGTTTCTTTTCGTGATTTATCATAGTGGAGTTCTCAAGCATATTCATCCATTTTGATTGACTGTTGCCTCTAAGAAGCTCTCTGGCATTACCTTCTTCCGAGACAGACGTGTTTGTCCTTTTGACAGCCTATGGCGTCTTCAGTATTCTTTACCTGCCCACATGCAGACACATCAATGTTTCCTTGGTCTTCCTTATTCAATGTCCAGCTTTCACATGCACATGACAGGATTGAAAACACCGTGGCTTGGATCACACACACTTTAGAGTTTCCAGACTAAGAATAGAGACTGAAGGGTGACTCAGCTGCCCACTTTGGAGAAAGGAACCACTGAGCATCTTATGGACAGCTTCAGAGTGGTGTCTTGTCCTATCCCTAAAGATTGGAAGCAGAGCCTTGTTGGAGACAGTGCCAGAAAATGGGCCCCTTGGGTTGGAGGGCACTCAAAACGTGACTGAGGGGGAGCAAATTTCTTGGCATAGAGTTGACCATGGTGACAAGAGTGTGGTGAAACCTGTGGGAGTGGAGCCTTTAGGATCTTCATTTGCTGATGGGACATGAGTCAAGGTAAGAAGAACCAGCTGCAAAAATGGAACATGGAATGTTTAAATTTTGAATTTTTGAAAATTGGAAGACATCAAAATGAAATGGTATGCATAAAGATCAATATCCTAGGCCTTAGTTAGCTGTATTGAATGGGTATTGGTCATTTTAAATCAGAAAATCTTATGACTTACTATGCCAAGA